TCATTATCCTTATCTAGTTGCTTATCCACAAAGCAACCTATAAGACAATCCTTGAATCTTATCAAGTCGAAATTCTAAGGCCTTATCACCTCAAATTCGTTCACCATATATTTAAGATAATCCTTACCTTATTTTGTAACTATCACATAATTACAAATCAGCCCCTCTAGTTTAATTAATTACACTTGATCACAAAATTAATTCCTAATTAATTATTGACCAATATTAATTAAACAAATATGATTTCTCCTTTAATATATTATTCTTATAACATATTCATAATATCCTCTCTCTCTTTATTTATTTCTCCAATCAAGTTGCTTTGGTGAAGGCAACCCAAAAGGACCATGCACCATCGGGTCAAGTACATACCAAAATAGTTATGGACTTAGATACTAATCCAACACGAACTACCTAAAACAATAATCGATAAATGTAAGATCGAAGGCCTAGTGAGTTACCGCCAGAATACCAATACCATATAGATATAACCATATCATATAAATATATAAACAAACAACATGCATAATGAGCTTTCAGCCTGACTGGACCGCCTCGCATGCCTTCAGCCTATCTGGACCGCTCTCCAAGCCTTCAGCACGTCTGGACCGTCTCGTACGACCTACAACCTAAGGATGAGCATCGTAACCGGGTACCCGCTTTCGGAACCGAAACTGCCTCGAAATTGTCGGTTCCGAAACCAGAAATGCCGGTTCCGGAATTAGAACTACCTTAAGCGGTTCCGATTCCGGTTCCTAAAGTTGTGGAACTGCCTTAAGTGGTTTTGGTTCCGGTTCTCATTTTTTCAGATGCGCTACCCGCTGGGTACCTGCTGGAACCGGTTTATACACACACACACACACACACACACTTTTTTCATTACATGATCGGCAAATATAAAATAAACAAAGTATCTACTTTAAAGCCTTAATATTACCAAAGTATCTTGTTATAGTTTAATATTAAAAAAAGGTTTATAGTATTATTTAGATCGGTTTAGAATATATTTGTCTGATTTTATCTGTCGTTGGTTCAAATTGATACAATTTAGACCGAACTATATTGCAGTTTTTATTAATAAAAAAAACAAATGTTGTTGTAACCGGGTTACCCAGTCTTGGAACCGGAACCGCCGGTTTGTAGTACTGGTTCCAAAAATTTAAGAACCGCCTAGACTGGTTTCAGTTCCGATTTCAACTTTCTGGGAACCGCCGGTTCCGGTTTCGGTTCCAGTTCTCACAAAATGAGGCGGGTACCTGCCTATGCTCATCCCTACTACAACCTATCCAGACCGCTCGTTGGGCCTTCGGCCTAACTGAACCTCTTTGCAGGACCTTTAGTTTATCCGGAACGCCCTGGGTATGTTGGCCTTCGGCACAAAGCATGACCGCCTTTACCTAACCCCCAATCAAAAAACATGTGCACATACATATCATATGCTAGCATATATAATAGTCAAACCGATCTATCCGATCACTAATCGCAACAACTTCCTATTAGCAGGATACATGCCTAACCGGTCACTAACATAGCATATCACCATCCTAACTACCAATATGCAAATCAATAAGCATATCATGCAATAAACTCGGATCTAACTCCGATAAGGTCCGACATTGGTGCCTTAGACCCAGTTGATATAGCAGGGATAAATCACCTCACAAGTAGTGTTGAAAGTACTGAAAACCTCTGATCGTTGTCTCACCGAAATCCTGAACTATTACATAATAAACACCAAGTCAATACATGAGATGTCAGTCTTAACTAAAGGTCCACTCAATCCATCATTTCCTTTCTCTTTATTGGGCCTAGGCCCAATGCCAAATCCATAATCTTGAAAGTCCTTATGTAAAGCCCACTATTGGCCCAATTTACCAAATTGGGCCCAACTCCCTAATTGGACCTCATTCCAAGCTCCATATTCAAAACTAGACCAAAACACCATATTCATAAAGTCCAACAAAGGCTCAAATCAAACTAGTCCATACATAACCCAATTCCCGAAGCCCAATTATCAAAAGCCCAATAAAGGACGTATCCGCGGCGCACTCCTCTGGTACGCTGGGCATACTCGTCATGATGTTGACCACCATTAGGGTGGTTGACCTAGTACACTAGGCGTACTGGATTTACGTTGGGCGTACGTAATGATTTGCTAAAACCTTAATAAGTGCTTAATGGCTTTAATATTTTTAGCTGAATCCAAATTTGAAATTATTTGGTAAACGAACGAACATGACAAACCCTTGTTCGGATTGTTTACGGCCCTAACGCTAGAATGAGATGTAAAAAGCAAGTGGTGGTAAGGTACAACACGGATTACACTATTGTTTTCTGATAAAAAAATTCACAATGTTTCATTATGATAGGTATAAAAAAAACAATCGTGAAAGCAATAAGAAAAAACAAAGTATTAATAAACTCGAGCTATCTCGTTCTATTTATTTGATCCCAAAATGATACAAATCCACAAGATGAAAACAAACGAATTATGGTCAATTCTTCATGAATTCTACAACAATTTTAGTACACATCACAAAAAGAGGCCCAACCAAATCAAAACCATGTCCGATTTCAGGCTTTCCGGGCCTCGTTTACATATACGAAAAACTCGATAACGAAGATAATTTGTGGGAAACGAACAGCATCGTTATAAAACAATCATATCCGAATCAAAATCAAGAATTTGAGAAAACAAAAGAAAAAAAAAATAACCCGATTTGAGAAAGAATTCATTCATCATCAATTATCGTCACTGATCGCTCTTCTTTACTGAACCATAGTAACTCACATACCATCTGACGAACTTCTTCAACCCCGTTTGAAGATCTGTTGTTGGTTTATACCCAAACTCCCTCCGAGCCGAACTAATATTCGCATGGGTGAACTGAACATCGCCATTTCTGGGCAATTTCATCACCAATCGCTTCGCTTTAACCTTCAACAATCGCTCCAAAATGCTCACCAGATCGGAAACTGGAACCGGCGAGGTGTTCCCGAGGTTAAAAACCCGTAATTGCGCAGGCGCACGTTTCTTCCCGCCGCTTCCGGTGCTCTTTTCTGCAGTATCTAACGCACCCAAACAACCCTTTACGATATCATCAATGTAGGTGAAATCACGAGCTACAGTTCCGTGATTTGCAGCTTCAAAGATTGGGATTGATTTCCCTTTTAAAATGTTTCTCGTGAAAAAGAAATACGCCATATCCGGTCTTCCCCAAGGTCCGTAAACGGTGAAGAATCGTAATCCGGTTAATGATAAACCGTATATGTGATTGTAGGTATGAGCAATTTCTTCGCCGGCTTTTTTTGTGGCAGCGTAGAGGCTCGCCGGCTGATCGGTTCGATCTTTTTCTGAAAAGGGGACTTTTGTGTTCAATCCGTAAACAGAACTTGATGATGCCCAAACGATTGCTGGCTGTGGATTCGCGCTTTTACAGACTTCAAGAAGATTAACGAAACCAGCGATGTTGCTATGGACATAAGAGCCTGGATTCTCCATGGCGTAACGAACACCTGCTTGAGCAGCTAAATGCATTACGTGAGTAAAAGGGATTAATTCGAAGAGTTTCTTGAGCAATGCGGCGTCGTTTATGTCTCCTTCCACGATATAGATCCCACTTCGTTCGAGTAGAGATTGACGAGCTCGTTTGAGTGCAGGATCATAGTAATCGTTGAAGTTATCAAGGCCTAAAACGCCATCTCCACGGCGTTTCAAGGCGACGCTGACATGGGTTCCGACGAATCCGGCTGCTCCGGTGACTAAAACGGAGAACCCGTTTCTTGACCGGATCCTGGCGGAGGATCTGACACGTTTCTCCCAAGCGAGTCCCCCCCATGAACTGGTTTTTAAAGATCTGCGAGAGAGATCTGATGCGATTGATGACGATGATGAGTATGGTGATGATGATGATGACGACAACGACGAAGTAGATGGTGATTTGAAGAATAAAACCAAGATTAATCCCAAGAACACAAAGAATGTGAGTTTTGCTACAGATGAAAAATGCCTGCATCTCTGAATGTACGACGATTTTTCCATCTTGAATTTCCCCGGCGTTGATGGGATATTATCCATATGAGATGACGACATTTGCTTCATAATCTTCAATGAAAACTTGAAAAAGTAAACACACACACCTCTTCTCTTATTTCCCCTGGTTTTCTTCTTATTTGACTAGGGTTTGATGAATAATTGGTGGGTTTTCTTCTTTTTCGCTCCGGAATCTAACAAGATAAGAAGGAACAAAGTTTCCTATGTGTTGGGGCAATTCCTCCAACTTTATTATGCTTTTTCGATTGTAGGGGAATCTGAAGGTTTCTTGAAAGAACTGTTGTTGGTATTGTGGGTTTTTTTGGTTCTACAGAGAGAGAGAGAGAGAGAGAGAGTGGTGATGAAGGTCGACCAAAATGAAGGAGTAAATTCGAAGGATTTGAATTAAATTGTATTATAATGGAGCTATCATCAAACACAAAAACATAATAAAAACTAAAAAGGTCAAACTGGGTCGTGTAATTCAGGAAATAATATACAAAATCTTTATGAATTTGATCAATGATTTGGGGTAAATTAAGAGTTTTTCTATAAATTACAGAAATTAAAAATTTTACTGGTTTGAACGTTTGATTGGTCAATGGAAACCTTTAATTTAATAGGCTTCCATCTTTTCCATCTTATGATTCTTAGTTTTTACAACATCATATGGATACTTTGGTTTTTTTTGGATAACTATTCAATTTTTGAAAATTAAATGATTGTCATGTTTAAAATGGGTCCATTTGGAATTTTGGTTTTATAAATTGTGTATTCCGTTTTCATTTGCAACTAAAATATGGGAAAAATTATATATTTCGACTTATTTGCATTGGTTTTTTCAACTAAATAATATATCATGCTTTTATATATATATATATATATATATATATATATATATATATATATATATATATATATATATATATATATATATATATATATATATATATAATGTGGGAAAAAT